TCTGGGACAAAAAGAAAAAAAGAAAGTGGACAAAACAGATCATTGGACTTTTGAATAGTGATGTTCAATGTTAGAAGAACATACGTAAGATCATCAGAAACGGAAGGAAGGAAGGAAGGAAGGAAGGAAGGAAGGAAGGAAGGAAGGAAGGAAGGAAGGAAGGAAGGAAGGAAGGAAGGAAGGCAAGACGGGAGGGAGGAGACAAGGATTTTGTAGCCAACAAAACTGGCTTTCGAGTAGAGCTCTTATCCCCAAGTCAGGCCCAGCGCACTGTTCCCACGAGCCCTTCCTGTGCGGGCTCAGAGAACAAGCTTCAGGCACGAAAGTGACAAGCGAGACGTTGTCACAGGACTGGCCATGAACACGAACTGCGAAGCTGCTCGGGAGAAGGTCGGCAAGGGCTGAAGGAGGGGACGGGGCGCTGGCTCCGTGCTCTGACCAAGTACACACAGCGCAGCGGTTTAAAAAGTGGGATCTGCCCTGGCTGGTTTGGTTCAGCGGTTAGAGCGTCGGCCTGCGGTCCGGAGAGACCCGGGTTCGGTTCCCGCTAAGGGCATGTACCTCGGTTGCAGTTTGTCCCCGGCCCTGGCTGGTTGTGCGGGTGGCAGCCACTCGATGTGTCCCTTTCACATCGATGTTTCTCACTCTCTCTCTCTCTGTTCCTCTCTCTCTCCCTCCCACTCTACCTGAACAAAAAATGGAAAAATGTCCTCGGGTGAGGATAAAAAATAAATAAATAAATAAATAAATAAATAAAATAAAAAGTGGGACAGGAAAGGGAACAGCGAGTGCAAAATGAATGTGAACTGTCCTCAGAACCCGCAAGGCGGTGGTGGGGCAAGTGTTTCCGTGGCTCGGGGCTGGTGTACCGGGAGACAAGCCCGTGGAGAGTTCTGGGATGTTCCAGCTATTTTACTCTCTGTGTCTCTGAGAATCAGGATCCTTGACGTGGTAAAGATTCTGGCATAACACAGAACAGTCAAGAGCCTGGTGGGCTCAATCTGGATGGAAAGTATCAGTGTGGATTTATGAAGTTTGTTTTTCTTTTTATCCTCACTCGAGGACATTTTTTGCATTTATCTTCAGATAGAGTGGGAAGAAGAAAGAGAGAAAAACATCAATGTGAGAGAGACACATCGACTGGTTGCCACCCGCACAACCCCAACGGGGGCCGGGGACAAACTGCAACCGAGGTACGTGCCCTGAGCGGGAACCGAACCCGGGTCTCTCTGGTCCGGAGGCCGACACTCTAACTGCTGAGCCAAACCGGCCAGGGCGTATTTATGAAGTATTTTATCTTTAACTATACATACTGTTGCCCTGGCTGGTGTGGCTCAGTTGGTTAGAGCGACATCTGTGCATCAAAAGGTGGAGGGTTCAATTCCCAGTCAGGGCACACACTCAGGTTGCAGGTTTGATCCCGGGTCAGGGTGTGTACGGGAGGCAACTGGTTGATGTTTCTCTCTCACATCCATGTTTCTCTCTCGCTCGCTCTCTCCTTTCTTCTCTCTAAAAATCAATAAAAAATTGAAAAATCCTCTTAAATATACATATGGTCATGTATCTATAGTGTGTGTACATAGGTGTGCATGTATGTGTATGTAAAGGCATATATATTAATTTTTTTTCTTTATTGATTTTAGAGAGAGGAAGGGAGAGGGGGAAAGAGAAACATCCATGAGAGAGAACATTGACTGGCCGCCTCCTGCATGCCCCCCACTGGGGATCGGGCCCACAGCCTGGGCGTGTGCCCTGACTGGAAATGGAATGGGCGACCTCTTGGTGCCTGGGTCAGTGCTCAGCCACTGAGCCACACTGGCCGGGCTAAATGCATATATCTTACACACATATGTGCACATGTACATAGGGCACTGGTTATTGAAAAGGCCTAACAACAAGGATCAGCCCAGATGAAACCCCTTGTGCCCAGCTTATGGAAAAGCAGAGCTGAGGTGGACCGTCTCTCTGGCGGGAGAGCTAGGAAGTCAAACCACGAGGATCATTCCAAGAGGACTCAGGAGCCAGACTGAAGAGACCTCTACAGCCCACAACAGGGGACATTTGCAACTTCAAATAAAAACACACCAATACGTTTAAATCGATGATACTGATGATACCGAAACGTACTACAATAATTGTGCTAGTTTAAAAAATCAAGCTGCCCTGGCCGGTTTGGCTCCGCAGTTAGAGCGTCGGCCTGCAGACCAAAGAGTCGCAGGTTTGATTCCCGGCCAGGGGCACGTACCTGGGTTGTGGGTTCGATCCCTGACTCCTGTTGGGGTTGTGCGGGAGGCAACCAATTTATGTATCTCTCTCACATCAATGTTTCTCTCTCTTTTTCCTTCCACCCTATCTAAAAATCAATGGTTAAATATTCTCAGGTGACAATTAACAACAAAAATGAAAAAAATAAATAAAGCTGATGGTCACCGAGGATGACGGGATGGTAAAGGGAGTGCCTAAGCCTTTCCCGTGTGAAGTGTGCTGCTGGGCGACAAGCAAACACCGAGAGGCGACGCTTCTAGTCTAGTTAATGAGTGAAAGTGCATCAGAGTGGCAGGCTTTGTGACTCCCCTGGTAGATGCGCAGGGACTCTGTGCCCTACAACTCTTGGTAGCCAGTGGCCACAGACACGACGTGCCCCCCGGTGGGCGGGCCCAGCCCCTAAGGGGTGGAGCCTGCGTCTGCTAGGCCTCTGGACCGGAGGGCAGAGGAACAAGCTGGGCCGCACCAGGATGCGCCATCAGCCACATCCAGACTCAGACACCCGCAGTCAGAAGGCCCCAGGACCCCCGAAAGACAAGGTGTAAGGGAAAGAAATGGACGAAGCGGGATCAATAGATTAAGAGACTCAAACACATATTTTAAAAAAAAGAAAAAAAAGAGCAAGACCAGACTCTAGGGTCTAGGGGTGTACGCTTTGATCGACTACAAAGGGACACAAGGAAGAACCAGGCCAGTGGTCACTTTTGGAGGGACAGAGGCTGTGGTTTTGAGGGGGGCACATGGAAGGGCTCCCGAGGAGGCTGCCAAGTTCTCACCTGGGTGGTGGTTCTGGGGTAGGTTTGCCGTCATGATGCATTAAGGTCTGATTTGTTCAGTGAGATTTTTAGGATCTGCTTTTTCGTTTACATTAAAAAATCCGAACCTGAGTCAGAACCTGCTGTTCCCTCCCTTGACACCCTCTAGTGATGCCCCTTCCTTAGCAGAAAGGCCCTGGTTAGAGGCTGCGCTTCTGCCCCGGGCCGGTCTCCACGCCAGCCACCGGCCCCTCGCGCCACCACGTCCAGCAGGCTCTTCCCCGCGAGTCTGCCTGGCTCTCTCCTCCCTCCTGTAGGCCTTCTCCCCAGTCACCTTTCCAGGGACGTCATCCCTGAGTATCGGCTAAAAATGTCGCCCCCTGCACGTCCCACCCCTTCCCTGCTCTGTGTCCCTGCGGCCTGGTTTGGGTCTGACCCGGCACATACGCCCTCACCTGCTGGTCTCGGGTCTGCTCTGGCTCCGTGTTGGGGAGCACAGGCTCTGTCTGCTGGGCCCCAGAGCCTGCGGCAGGCCTGGCGCGGCAGTGACTAGGCCGCCAGTGAGCCAGAGGGAGACGGCCTGCGGCCTGGGCGCCAGTGCGGTTCTGGCCGAGGGCCCTGCCCTGTTGTCACAGCCAAGACACCGGTGCCCAGAGATGGCAGCTCTTTGTACAGAGTGGGCCTGGGTGACGCTTTCCCTGTCAGCCTCGGTACCACGGGTGACGTGGACAGCCACCAGACACACGGACACGATGGCTGCCAGCCCCGGGAGGTGTCGCAGGCTGACTGCCACATACACCTCAGTGTCGGGAGTCGGGCCAGGGGGACACTCGTATCGGGTGTAGGTGGTACCCAGTTTCCGCTGGTAAAATTGTTCCCCATTTTGACATGATGAGTATTTAACGGTATCCCCCAAAGAGCACCCTGAGTGTTAGGGTTCCCCCCACACACGTTTGAGAACCACGCACTGTCACAATTAGTTGAAATTCCCTTCAGAACCTCCCCAGGCTCCTCACTCTGCCCCCACCCCCCTTCGCCTCCGCGCCCGGCCTCTGGCTCCCGGCTGCCCAGTGGGTGCCAGGCTCGCGCCCGCGCGTGCCCGCCGCGCCCCTCGGAACGCCCTCCGTCCTCCTCTCCCTCGGGCCCCGCCTTCTCCAAGGCTCACTCTCGTCTCAAGCAGTGAAGCTCGGCTCCGGGCCGGTCGCCGTGCCGGGCCCTTGGCAGGGGCAGCGGCAGGGGAGCACCTCTGACCATCAGGCTCAGGCACGCGGAGGCTGCGCCAGGCGAGGCGTGTGCCCTGTTCACGTCCCTGGCTCCTCACAAGAAGCCTACAGGCGGCTGTTGTGACGGGCTCCACTCTACAGACAGGCAAACGGAGGCACAGAGAAGCCGTCGCTCGCCCAGGTCCCGAGGCCAGAGCCTGGTGGAGCTGGGCTTTGAGCCCAGGAGCGCGGGCTGCAGAGCTCACGTCCCTAACCACTGGGGCAGGCGGGAGTCCAGAGGGATGGACTGGACCTGCCCAGGACTCAGGGAGGCTTCATTCATGGAGGGGGCAGCTGTGCTGGGTGGAGGGTGGGGCTTCTCGGCCCAGAGGACAGCGTGCCAGCCGCCAGCGCGGGAGGCTAGGCTATGCCCGGGTGCCAGCGGCTCTGCCAGGCCAGCGGGGCTGCGCCTCCTCCTAAGCCTGGCTTCAGCTCTGTGGGCGGCAGGGGCGTGGGTGGGATGGGAGAGTACAGGGCAGGGCTGGAGGGGGAGGGGCACCTGGCCAACAGCCCTTTCTCCCCTGGCTCCTCGGCCCACTCTAGAATCCTGCGAGAGTGGCCACAGCTCCGAGACTCAGTTTCCTCCTCTGTAAAGCAGAGAAGGAATGGCACCTGCCTCCCAGTGGCTGGAGGCTCGGACAAGTCATGGCGGATAAATGTGCCCGGCAGCCGGGCCTGGCTGTGGTGTGGAGGGGGAACCCCCCAGGCCAATACTCACCACCACCTCCAGGTCAGAGTTCAAGTGGCGCTGGGTGTCTGACATCTGCACCAAGATCTCACCTGGAGGCCCAAAGAACAATGGCTTCAGTGAGGGAGCCCGTCCCACCCACCCCCTTCCCACCAGAAGCTGCCAGAAGGGTCTGCCTGAGGCTGGATTTCGGGACCAAAGTCCTGGCTTTCCCAGACGGCACTGGGACTCAGGCAGCACCTGTCCAGCCCTGTCCCAGCCCTGGTGGCGTGGTGGGGAGGGGCTTGGGTTCCAGGAGAGAGGGCTCTGGCCCTGGGCTGCAAGACCTGCGTCTTTGGGGGACTCCCGGAAGGGCAGGGCTGTGGAAGGAACCCCATAACGCGGCTCCAGGGAGGCAGGCGGAGTGCCTGGGGGAGGGGGCTAGCAGGAATGCCCTCCAGGCCCTGAAGGCGTGTGGGCATAGTGAGAGGGGAGCCCCTTACCCAGAATCTGCGAGGTGGAGCTCTGCAGGGCCTGCTCCCCGATCTTCTGGATGGCGCTGAAGTACACCTCGGCTGCCTCGGACAGAGCTGCCGGGAGAGGCCCCGGTCCAGCCCCAGCGCCTCCCCGCCGCCCCACCCTGGAGACCCTCCTTCCGTCAGAGAGTGTGCAGGGGACCCCGGGATCTGACGGAGGGGCATGTGAGAGGGAGGGGGGCCTTGGGGGGCCTGTGTGATGTGGCACTGGCCAGAGGTGCGGGCGGGGCGGCATGGGGTGGGTTCTCCCTCCAGGGCAGGGCCTGGCACTGTTCAGGACTGTGGTGTAGTCTGTCTTGGGTTGGGGTGCAGACATCTGTGTGTGTGCATGAGAGGTGGGTGCAGGTGCAGGGTCATGGCTGGGGCAGGGCCATGTGAGGGGTAGGGCCGGTCGCTGGTGTGGGGGAAGCAGACTCTGACTCTGATTGGGTGGCTCTGGGTTCCAAGTATGTCCCTGGCCTGTCCATCCTATAGATGGCTCGTAACCCTCTGTACACAGCACCGTGGACGAGGTGTGGCTGAGAGATGGTGAATGGCTGCCTGGTGGGGTGCAGAGAAGATGGGGGTGTGGATGTCTGTGTGGTGGGAGCAGGCCAGGGGCTGGGGGCACTCACCATGGAAGGCCCGCAGGTAGTTGTTCCCCAGGTACACCAGGTTCTCCAGGGCGGGGTTAAACTGCTCCATGATGCTCTGGACCCCGAAGGCAAGGGGAGGGAGGGTGAAGATTGGGAGAGGAAGGAATGATGGGCAGAGGCAAGTCATGGGCCTCAGGAGCAGGGCACCCCTAGCCCCAGTGAGAAGCCTTCAGAATCTGGGGGAGTCCACCTAGAAACCTGGAGTCACCTAGAACCCTGCACGGGCCTCAGAGCCATCTCCTGTGGTTCCGTTCAAGTCCAGGGCCCCCTTGGGCAGCTCCTGCTCACACACCTACCCTGGGGGACCTTGCTCCCAGGACAATGCACGTGGAGGATCCTCCTCCACTGGCTGAAGCCTGCTGTCTGTCACAGTCCACAGCTGGGCCAGTTCCACCCAGGCCCGAGTCCAGGCCTCGCTGGACCAGACACACAGACTGCCCGCAGTCACCTCAGGGGCAAGGGCAGATCTCGCTCGAAGAGCCCTCTGGGAGCCGGGACACCCTGAGCCATGGCTAGGTGGAGGTGACTGGGCTTGGACTTGGACTTGGGTCTTGGTGCAAATCCCTGCAGCCCCTGCCTGCCTTGGTGACCTTGGACAAGCTGTTTAACTGTCTGGCCTCAGTGTTTCCACCTATCAGACGGGGTGATTCCCTTTCACCCCCAAGTGGGATGCTGTGAGGCTTCCATGTGGAAGGGGTCCGCACACAGCGGGTGCTCAGCGAGCGTCTTCGGAGACTCCAGCAACCCCTCTGGAGTGAAGCGGGGTGTTTGAGTGAGGGGCTCGGAAACCAGAGGAGACGGAGAAGAGGCAGAGATAAAGAGAGAAACTGTCTGCTCCCAGGCCAGGCGGCTCTGTGGGCCCCTGATCCCGGCTGCAGCCGCGCCGGGCCGTCCTGCCTGGCCCGTCTGGGACTTGGAGGCTCCTGCTGAAAGTGCTGTCTCAGCGGGCCCGTCACTCACTAGGTGACGGTGGACAAACCCCTCCCTGGGAGCCTCAGATTGGGGCTGGGGTGACTGACTGTCCCCAGAGACCCCCTCCCCCACGCCGCAGCTCAGACCGCCCGGCTCCACGCCTTCCTCGCCAGAACGTGCCACAGCCACGCCACCCTCGTCCTCCAGCGCTGGCCCAACCTTTGCGCCCTGGCCGGGCGCTCGCGGGCCTGGGCTGCGCGCTCACCTTGTAGATGGCCATGGTGGACCTGTAGAACTGGTCCATCTCGGGGGCCATGGGGCGGGCTGCACCGGGTGCTGAGCGGAGGGCTGGTGGCGCTCTAGGGGCTGGGAGCACGGGGGGTGGGTGCCCACTGCTCAGCTGCTCAGCGGGCGTGAAGGGGCAGCAGAATGGGACCTGGAGATGGAGGGCTGGCCAGGAGGAGGTGCAGCTTAATTATTCACCAGCCAGGGATGTCAGAATGCGATCTGGGGCGTAACCAGACCCAGCGGGGAAGGCATCCTGTGACTCGGGCGGGCGGGTTCGTGTGACCTGCCCTTCAATTATTTACCCCTCTGAGCCCGGCCGGTGGGCACGCGTGGATGAACCACTCTCCTAGGTCACTGCCACCTCGAGGGGCAACACCGCTGCCCTCCACCTGCCTATACGGGGTACTGCCCACCTGTCTAGGCTGGAACTGCTCGTTGCCCTCCTCTAGGACCCCCTCCCTGGCAGATCCCTGGAGGCTGAACACATCTGTGGGTCGTCCCCTTGTGAGGTTTCTGCTCTCTCCTGAGCCCCTCAGACCTGCACCCAGGCCCCACGTCCGCAGCCACCCGCCCAGCTCCCTGCATACAGGAGAGGGGACAGCACCAACTCTAAGGTCACACAGACCCAGTGGCAAACCTTGGCCTGCTTACTCAGTGTGCCCTGCCCTCTGGAATCATCCCCTCCCCGGGGTCTCTCCCCTCCCCAGGGTCTCTCCCTGCCTCCAGGTAGACCTCATTTGGAGAGGCCTGGAGAAAGGAAGAGGTGCCCCCGCCCCAGGGAGCCAGGAAACAGCGGCCATGTGCGTGGGCACACAGGACGGTGATGTCTGGCTGAGGTCAAGGTTTCGGGGAGTGGGGGGGGCACCCACACCCCAGTGTACACAACACAGGGTCACTGGAATCAAACCGTTTATTTCACAGTTTGGGGCGGCCTCACCCCACTCATAAATCACTGCCTGTCGAGAGCAGCCACAGGAGCAGCATTGGGAGCTGGGGCAGCTCTGAGGGTTGCAGGTGGCTGGGCGTGTGCCGAGGGGCAAAGTTGAATGGCGCGCCCCACTCCTGGCACATGGAGTTTCGGGGCTGACGAGGCGGGTGATGGAGTTTCTGCAGCTTCTCCAGCCCCGTGGCCAGGGAAGAGGGCAGAGGGTGGACGGGGCAGCTGCACCCCCAGAGGACCTGGAAGAACCCAGGGCTGGGGGCAAAGCTGGGCGCCCTTAGTGTTTGAACCGATAGGGTGAGGCTCTAGGCTTTCTAAGCCTGAAGTGACAAACGGACGGGAAGGCAGGGACAGAGGGGGAGAGAGGCCTTCAGGAGCAGCCTCAGGCAGGAAGCCAGTGCCCTCTGAGGCCCGTCTGTGGGCAGAGCAGCCATGGCCCAGCTCTGTGGTGCTGGGGCCTCAGTGGCCTCCCAGGCGGGGTTGGGTGGTGGGGCGGGTGGGGTAGCTGGGAGCCTGGCAGCCCTACAGCGACAGCAGCAGTTGGATGAGCTTGTGGAACTGCTCTCGGTGCTCGTAAATGTAGACCTCGGTCTCCCAGAGCGCGTTGACCAGCACCGTGTCACTGACCTCGTCCAGCATGATGTCCGTCCCCAGCTGGGGGTTCAATCTGTCCAAGTCAAGGAGGAGGGGTCATCCCAAGACTCTTGGCCTGGGTCGGGGGTAAGAGCTAGGACTTGGGAAAGGAAAGTCCCTGCCAAAGATTGGGGTAAAGAAGGTTGCCAGGTCTGGCCAGGCCAGGGAATGGGCTGGGGGCTGGGGACAGGGGCTAGGGGCTGGGGACCAGGGCTGGGGGCTGGGGACCAGGGCTAGAGGTTGGGGGCTGAGGCTGGGGGGTGAGGGCTGAAGGTTGGGGGTTGGGGGATGAGGCTGGGGGATGGGGGCTGAGGCTGGGGGATGGGGGCTGAGGCTGGGGGTTGGGGACTGAAGGCTGGGGGTTGGGAGCTGAAGGCTGGGGGTTGGGGGCTGAGGCTAGGGGCTGGGGACCAGGGCTGAGGACAGGGGCTAGGGGCTGGGGACCAGGGCTGGGGGCTGGGGACCAGGGCTGGAGGTTGGGGACCAGGGCTGGAGGTTGGGGGCTGAGGCTGGGGGGTGGGGACTGAAGGCTGGGGGTTGGGGGCTGAGGCTAGGGGCTATGTCCTCACCGGAAGTACTGGATGCCAACCATCTCGCACCAGGCCCGGGCTCGGTCTACGGCCCGCCCATCCGGATCCGTGCACTGGGGAGAGGTAGCCTCTGTGAGCACCCAGCACGCACACTCCCTGCCCAGGATCCCCAGATCCCCTTCTGGCTTAGCCACCCACCAGCACGGTGGCTTTGGGCAAGTCCCCTTCCCTGGCTGCAGCGATGGCCCCAGCTGTGCAGTCACAGGGGCACAGTCTGTGGTTTTCTCAGGTGGCCCAGCAGCACCCATTCAGGGTCAGGGAGCATGATGGGGGCAGGCAGGGGCTGAGTGGCCAGGCCTCCACGTCCCACCCCTGGCAGCTTTTGTCTAGCTGATGCTCTGGGCTCCCACATGGGGCTGTTTGAAGGAAGAAATCCACAGCACTGAGACTGAATCAGGGACCCCCCCCCCCCTTGAGCTGGCTAAAGAGGGTCCACAGAGCCTCCCTGACACCCAGGTGCCACAGAAGAGGGTGAAGCCAGGGTCCTGGGGCTGAGACCCGGAAGGAAGTGGGCCCAGGAAGGGACCCATACTCACACAGTCCACTACCATTTTTCCCAGTTCCTTGGCCCCAAACACAGTCTTAGCCAGTTCCCAGGGGTTGCTGGGACGGAAGACATCCACACAGGTCACAGGAACCTGTGGGGACTTCCCTGTCCCTAGAGAGACGACGATGGAGAGTTTCTTCACCTTGTTGCCCTGGCCCTGTTGGGACAGGACAGGGGTAGTGAGAGACCTTCCCCTGTGGCCCTGCCCCAGAGTGTGAGAGGCTGGTGGGGCTGGGCCCTGGAGGAGCACGCGGAGCTGAAGGGACTCCTGTGGCAGGAGCACAGCCTGGGCTGCCTCCTCCTCTGCTCGGGACTAGCTCTGCTGCCCACCTGCTGGGGGAGCTTGTGAGTCACCCCACAATAGGAGGGGGTTTGTAGGGATGGTGCCAGAGACCCTTCCTCATCCCACAGCCCCACCTCCGGGCAGCCTGCTTTGCTCGACCTGGGCTCTAGAGGGCGCTCACCTCTCTGAAGGCAGAGCCCCTGCCGCGCCACCGGAGCTGCGTCAGAACCCAGGGATGGCCACAGTGATGACCACAGCCAGCAAGGACAGAGATAGGAGCACAGGGAAGCCTCCTGGCGGTCCCCAGGCCGGTGCTATTAGTAACCCCATGCAGTGGCTCAAGTGAAGGGCGGGCAGAGCCAGGATCCAAACCCAGAGGCCAGGGCACCACCCGGCCCAGCTGGGGCCTCGGAACCCCTCTTAGCACAGTGCTTTGCGCAGGCCACCAGTCAGGCAGGTGCGAGTGCGGAACAGCGCTGCTGAGAGCACAGAGCAGCCGGGCGTGAAACCCACGCGCTCTGCGAGGACTGGGTCCCCCGGAAACCCACGCGCTCTGCGAGGACTCGGGCCCCCGGAAACCCACGCGCTCTGCGAGGACTCGGGCCCCCGGAAACCCACGCGCTCTGCGAGGACTCGGGTCCCCCGGAAACCCACGCGCTCTGCGAGGACTCGGTGCCCCGGAAACCCACGCGCTCTGCGAGGACTCGGTCCCCCAAACTTGCTGATGCGCTGGCCGCAGGGGTGGGCATATCTGGCCCCTCCGACCTGAGGTGGCTCTCACCTTGCGGATCATGTCCTGGTTGTACTCATGGATCTCGGTCATGGCGTCCAGGGTGGGGTTGTTGGCCAGGAGCCCGCCGTCCAGGAAGCGCCCATTAGGCCGGAAGTAGGTGGGGGCTGCCCCACTGCTCCGGGCTGCCCGCCACACCAGCTGCTCTGGGGGTGGGAGAGGAGGGTGGCCCAGTGGGACAAGGGACTGGTACAAAACCTGAGCTGTTCAGATCTCAGTGTGTGTGTGTGTGTGTGTGTGTGTGAGAACTCTTCAGGAATAGGGCAGCGAGGACATGCTGTCTGGCCCCACCACCCTGGGGGAAGGCAGGGCGCAGCTGAGGGCACCCAGGGGCCTCCTCTAGCCTGCCCCAGGCCTGACAGCTCCCAGGTCTGCCTGTCTGCCCATGAAAGCTCAAGGCAGCAGATAGGAGGGTGGTGGGCTAGGGGTGCCCAGCAACAAGCCTAGACTCCCACCCACCACCCCGCAGCCTCACAAACCAACTGCTTCCCACTGATGCATCAGACACCGTTTTAACCTGAAGGCTGAGTTGGAGGCTTGAGGTTAATATTCTGGCTGAAACGAGGCTCCCGCACACACTCTGGAGCCTCGTAGTTCCGGAAGAGATGAAGCTCAGCCGGCTGCCGGTCAGACAGTGTCCCCGTCAGCATCACCCTGGAGAAGACAAGGAGCAGGACAGCGGGAGTCACCGACCCATCCACTCTGGGAACTCATCCGAAGATGCTCTCGCACTGGAGACCGGCACACGGGAGGCTATCAGCAGCAGCATCTGTTAAAGCACAAGACTGCCGACAACTGAACTGTGTGCAGCCGGTCACTGTCCTGAGCCCGCCCCCTTCCCTGTGGGGTCCAGGTCACTGCAGAAGGACCAAGAAGCACTAGATGTGCTGAAAATCACTGAGCAGCAGGATTGATGGTCAAGTAGAAAATCAAGGCTCAGGACTGTGTGCAGTCTGCCACCATTTATTTAGAAACAACGCCCCCAAAACCTATGTACCTATTTGCTTAGTCAGAGGGGGCCCAGGAGCAGCACCTGGGCCAGGGGACTGCTTGGTGGCCCAGGAAGAGACCTCACCATGTCCGCTTTGATAACTCTTTGATGTTCTATCCACCCTGCGAGTCTATAACCCATGAAAATAGACTCCTGCTTGTCTTGAGAGACTCAGATGCCCTTAAATACTGTGGGTGTATGGACTGGCACAGCCTGGTGGAGACTACTGTGTGTAAAGACTCTTCCCAATGTCCTGGCTCTCTGACTGGGGAATTCCATTTTTGGAAATCTATCTTGCAGGAATAATCTTAGTTACAGTGAGGCTTCTCATATAAGGCTATCCGTCTCAGTGTAATTTACTACTGAGCACAATGAACCAATCTAAATGCGGACAACAGAAGGGAGGAAGCGCATGAAGTGTCAGCCGTTCAGAATTACGCTCGCCAGGGCCAGAGTAACCCAGAAATGTACGTTACACTGCAAAAATAGATATAAAGCAAAGGGAACACAAAACTCTGCATAGGAGAAAATATCATCTTTCCATTTCTGGGAACACTGTGGAAAAGGTAATTTGAACAATCCTCCCACTAAACAAAAAATTAAAAGCTGGAAAATATATTTTTGGCCCTGGCCGGTTTGGCTCAGCGGTTGGAGCATCGGCCTGCGGTCCAGAGAGACCCGGGTTCGGTTCCCGCTAAGGGCACGTACCTCGGTTGCAGTTTGTCCCCGGCCCTGGTTGGTCGTGCGGGTGGCAGCCACTCGATGTGTCCCTTCACATCAATGTTTCTCTCTCCCTCTCTTCCTCTCTCTCCCTCCTGCTCTATCTGAACAAAAAATGGAAAAATGTCCTCGGGTGAGGATAAAATATATATATTTGAAAAAAATCTGCTTAAAAGCATAGACCTGGCAAGCTAGAAGGGAATGTCAGGTAAATTCTGAGAAGAGCAAGAACCCAGAGAACAGACCCAGCTTTTACCTGAAGGCAGATACCAAACTCAGTACATTTCAACTTCAGTGTTGACGGTCTCATGGGGACAGAGGGACAAAGACCAAGCCCAGGGCCTGCCAAAGGTTAGGGGTCTAATGGGAGACCCTCCCTATATTACGTTGGGACCCCAAAGGGTTATTCTCTTTTTTAAAAATATGTTTTATTGATTTTTTAGAGAGAGAGGAAGGGAGAGAGGTAGAAACATTGATGAGAGAGAAAGATTGATCAGCTGTCTCCTGCACGTGCCCCCACTGAGGATCGAGCCCACAACCCGGGCATGTGCCCCGACCAGGAATCGAACTGGTGACCTCTTGGTGCACGGGACAATGCTCAACCGACTGAGCCACACCGGCTGGGCAAGGGCTATACTCTTGGATAAGATGAACCAGAAATAAACCTACCCCTTACCCATCCCTGCAGGTTATAAGGAAAGTTGCCCTGGCACTGGACAAAGAAGGGAGAAAAAATCCCTAAGAAGGAATAACCACAGACTAACCCTCCTTCAGATTTGTAGTTTAAATTCACATCACCTGCCCTGGCTGGTTTGGCTCAGTGGTTAGTGCATCGGATCACAGACCAAGGGGTCGCAGGTTTGATTCCTAGTCAAGGGTTCGATCCCCGGTCCCAGTCAGGGTCATGCAGGAAGCAACCAATCAGTGTGTCACTCTCACACTGATGTTTCTCTTTCTCCCTCCCTCCCTTCCACTCTAAAAAAATCAATGGAAAAATATATTCAGGTCCTGGCCAGTTTGGCTCAGCAATTGGAGCGTTGGCTCAGGGACCAAAGAGTCGCAGGTTCGATTCCAGTCAAGGGCACGTACCTCCGTTGTGGTTCATCCCCAGCCCTGGTCGGGATTGTGTGGAAGGCAACCAATCTACGTGTCTCTCTCACATTGATGTTTCTCTCTCTCTCCCTCCCTCCCTCCCTCCCACTCTAACTGAAGATAGATGGAAAGAGTATCCTCTGGTAAGGATTTAAAAAAAAAAATTATAGCCCTGGCCGGTTTGGCTCAGCGGTTAGAGTGTCGGCCTGCGGTCCAGAGAGACCCGGGTTCGGTTCCCACTGAGGGCATGTACCTTGGTTGCAGTTTGTCCCCGGCCCTGGTTGGGTTGTGAGGGTGGCAGCCACTCGATGTGTCCCTTTCACGTCGATGTTTCTCTCTCTCTCTCTTTCCCACTCTATCTGAACAAAATAAAAAATAATAAATAAAAAAAAAAAATTATACACACACACTCGGGTGAGGATTAACTAAATAACTAACTAACTAAATAAATAAATAAATAAATTCACATAGCCTGGGGGAAGTCTCAATTCCTTCATGTCAAGAATTTAATTAGAGTGGCCTTAGATGGTAGTGTACCTAGGTACCTTAAAGAGACAGCACACAACCCTCTGAAGGAAGATACTCTCATTCTAGCCTCACAGAATGTGCATATATTACTATTCTCCAGTACTAAGAAACATCATATAGTCAAAAAAAAAAAAAAAGAGGGGGCCCTGGTTGGTGTGGCTTAGTTGGTTGGAGCGTTGTCCCATATACTGGAAGGTTGCAAGTTTGATTCCCTGTCAGGGCACATACCTAGGTTGTGGATCTGATCCCCAGTCTGGGCATGTACAGGAGGCAACCAATTGATGTAGGTATCTCTCTCACATCGATGTTTCTGTCTTTCTCTCCCTTTCTCCCTCTCAAAAATCAATATAAAAAACAACAATCTACCATGAATGAGAAACATCATAAACCAACATAAACAATAAAACATACCTACATAGACTGCAGATATTTTAATCCTCAAATATTATAAAACAGATATTATATTTAAAGACATCAAAGACAAATCTGATATCTTCAGGAAAAAAGAAACTATAAGTAATGACCTATAATATTTGAAGAACCACAGAGTACTTCTAGAAATTAAACAACAACAAACCAATAGAATAAAAAACTTAGTGGATATGTTAAATGTAAATTTAGATAAGGCTAAAGAGAGAATTTATGAATTAGAAAATAGGTAAGTAGGAATTATCCAGAATGCAACACAGAGATAAAATGATAGAAAATACAGGAGAAAAGACATGAAAGAGAGAAAAGGTCTAAGTATGTTTAATTAAGTTCCAAAAGAAGAGGGGAGTAAAAATTATGCAGAGGCAAGGGTTGAAGAGATAATGACTCATGTTTCCAGTACTGAAGAAAGGCACTAATCCGAAGATTCCAGAAGACCAACAAATCCCATGCAGGATAGATTAGAAGGAATTCATGTCTAGATATATCATATGCAGCTGTAGAGCACCAAAAACAAATAAAAGCATCCTGAGAATAAAGACAAATTACCTTCAAAAGAGTAACTGTTAATCGGAATTGACTTTCTAAGTGCAACAATGGAAATGAAAGGATAACAGAATGAAACTGTGCATGTTCTACAAGAAAATCACCAACCCAGAATTCTATACCCAAGAATAAGCGTGAAATAAAACTAGTTTCAAATGATGAGATTGAAATAAACCTATTTGCAAATAATTCTGCTAGTAATTCAGCACCAGCAGACCTTCTCTACAGGAAAGTCATACAAAAAAAAAAAAAAATGTATTTTAGGCAGAACAGAAGTGGTCACAGATGGAGTCTGAGATGCAGGAAAGAATGTAGAGCAAAGAAGTGATACACATATATACATATATATACATGTACGCATACACATATGTATACACATACACAGATACATACCCAATGCTATGCCAGAGCCTCATACTGGCTTGTGAGAGCCTATTGCTAAATCTCAAAGCTGCTTGTTAAATGGTTGGTAGCTTGAAATTGGCCATGGTGGGAGTATTTATGCCATGGCAATGACTATAAATCAGCGCTTCGCCCCACCACCTCAGAGATCTGGTTTACCAGCACACTGATAGATAAAATTTAAATAAACATCATCTTTAAAAAACAATAATAATGTCTCATAAGACTTAAAAAAAAAAAGACAGATTTAAAATATGGAAAGTCAATTATAGATAAGGAAAGGTACATGGAATTAATGAAATCAAGCTCACTCATGAACATGGATGCAAAATCCTAAGCAAAATATTAGCAGACCGAACCAATCAGAGTTCTCTCTGTAAGAGATGCCAGGAATTGAAAGCAGGGACTTGAACTCCAGCAGGGACTTGTACACACCCATATGCCCAGCAGCATTATTCACAATAGTTAATAGGTGAAAATGACCCAAATGTCTGCCAACAGATGGATGGAGAGACAAAATGTGATAAACATGCCCAATGGAATACTATTCAGTCTTTAAAAAGGAAGGAAATTCTGACACATGCTATAACATGGGTGAACCTTGAGGACATTATGCCAAGGACACTGTGAACTAAGCCAGTCACAACAAGACAAATACTGTGTGATCCCACTGACTGAGTCACTTGCAGCTGCCAAACTCATGGAGACACAAAGTAGCAAGGTGGTTGTCAAGGGCTGGGGGAGGGGGATGGGAGTTGTTTGCTGGGTACAGAGTTTCCATTTTGCAGGATGAAAATGTTCAGTCCCTGGCCCGTGTGGCTCAATGGTTAGAGTGTCAGCCCGTCCATGCACAGAAGGGTCGTGGGTTCACTCCTTGGTCAAGGGCATGTACCTGGGTTGCAGGTTTGAGTTTGGGAGGCAACTAATTGATGTGTCTCTTTCACAC